ACTCAGGGCAGCCCAGTTCCAGGTTGAGCTGTTGTTCAGCATCTTAGCTGTGGAGGGCAGTGTCACTGGCCCTCATATGTGGGATCTGAACCGGGGCTCTCTGGCATCCCAAGCCAGTTGTTAACCATTGCACCACTCGGCCGGCCCTCCAGGTAAGTTCTTAATTCTCATTCTCTCTCTCTCTCCCTCTCTCTCTCTCTCTCTCTCTCTCTCTCTCTCTCTCTCTCTCCACCGCCCCCCCCAAACCATGCCACAACCACCTCTTATATCAATCTCTTATACACTGGACCACTATTCACCTGCCCTTATCACCCCAGAGCCAGGTACCAGACAACTAGAAATAGACCCTAAAGTCAAGAGCACGTTGAAATTATTTAAACTAGCCAATCCTACACCTGCTTTTCCTGCCTTGTCCATTTCTTCCAGTGGAATCCACAATAAAAGCTCTTGTCTTGTTTTCCTCTCATTCGCTCTGCCTCCTGACTGAGCCTGGTTCTTCCCTATGTGGACTTAGTAGCATGCTATGCCTCCTGTTTCTAGGGATCTGTGAGTATAAACTTCATAACAGCCATTTCTGTGTCTGCATGTCTCACCATATCTGATTAAAACAAATCTCAGGCACCATTAAAACACACACAAAAGTAAATACTATGTGATTAAATTTTATATAAAGTTCAAAAGCAGGCATAATGAATGATGGTGTTAGAAATCAGAGTAATGGTTATTCTGGGAGGAGATATAAGGAGGCATGAGGGGGAGCTTTTGGTATGCTAAATAATCTAAGTGCTGACTATAACATGTTCAGTTTGTATAAATCGACTAAGTGGTATATTACAATTTGGGCATTTTCTCTATGCGTATACTAAAAGTTGCATTATTGGTTCCAATTCTCTCTCTCCCTGTATCCTTGTCCTTTACCATGTAACTTTGCAATACCTTCCCACAGTGATTCTGGAATCCACCATGTAATTTGGCCAATAGAATGAATAGGAAGTAAGAGTGTACTAGCTCTTGGTCTGAGACTCAACAGGTCCTGTGTGTTTCTTGTACTCTTGTGCTTTTATTATTGAGATTATATAGACACGTTGAGACTAGCTCACTTATCCTAGGATAAGAGCCATGTGGAACACAGCTGCATCAGCTAAGGGTCCCTAGCTAAACCCAGCTGGGAGCAGGGCTCTCAGTTACTCAACAGATGAATGAAATGAACAATCAAGATCAACCAAACCCAGCCTAGGTCAGCTGACTCCCATCTGACTCACAGATGCATAAACTGAAGATAATTGGATTTATTAAGCTACTGACTTCTAGGGTATTGTGTTATGCTGCAAAAGCTAACTGGTACAGTAGTGAAAAAATAATAATGAGGGCCAAAATTGGGCAAAGTTGGGGAAAAGAGAGGAGGGAATTAAGACAGAAGAAATTCACCTAAAAAGAGTTATTCCATTGAGTTGGGTTTGATATGTCACACTGCTTATTCTCCTGATACATATGGCATCAAGAAAGCTATAGTTTCCTGCATCTACATACCAGTGTCCCAGGGCTATTGAAGACAGAGAAGAGGTAACAACTAGGAATGCCAGAGAGGATTCTCTGTGGCTGTGGATAGGGCATGGAGGGGAAAATAAATTGGTTCAGCTCTGGGTAGGGTTGAACTGGAGGTCTCTGAAGGACATCCAGGTGGAGTTGTTCAGCAAGGAGGAAATGCAGCTCAGAAGCTCAGGTCTTTGCTGGCGATCTAGATTTCAGCATTCTCAACTAGCAGATAGTAACTGAGGAAGCTGGGACTGGATCTGCACTGTAAAGCCAGGGCAAAAACAGCTTCAAGAAGCTGTGCGAGCCAACACCTGGTTACTCCATGAAAAGTGCTTCAGTCAGTAGAGGTGGTTCTTATGTGGTCATCAGTTGAAAATTGAAGGATGATTATGATTTAATTTATAACTTAACGGGGAGATGATAAATACATCTTGGTCAGCAAGCAGAAGATGCCCTGTAGCACTAAAGGGTCACCATACACCACATGTCCCAGAAATCAGTAATACTTCCAAATTGGTCAGATGGGACAGCGGTCCTTTCATTGGAAGAGCCAGTAAAACAGGGCAGGAGTAGATGGGGCAAGTACTGAGTGCGCTCCTGAGAGGCAGTGAGTTGGAGCTAAGGGGAAAGAATAAAGGCGCCCAAGAAGGGATAGAAAGAAAGGGGAGGACTGGCGTGGTCCCCGTCGGGACCAGAGGAAAAAATTAATAGGGATAAAGTAATCAAGGAAGGTGGGACAAGATATACAACAGCAGGTGGGCAGAGGTGGCCCACATGTAAGGAGGAAGCCAGGTTAAAGAAAGAAGGATGAGAGAAAAGGGGCACAAAACACTGGAGGAGGGCCGCCAAAGAGGCCTGGATGCTGAATCAGAGAAAGGAAGAGGAAATAATGAATGAGGCAGGAGAACGACGGAGTTGAGGATGAGAGAAGAGCCGCGAACAGAAGGAAGAGGGAAAGGACATCTGGGTGTTCAGAGCACAGCAGCATGTCCAATGGCACCATCATATGGAGCCCGACCTATCCGCCGGAGACACTGGGAGAGGGCGCCTCACGGAAGAAGCCCTAGACGTTAGCCTGCACCCGGCCAGCTCCAAGGGTCCGGGGGGCAGAGGTTAGGGCGGGCGGCAGGGTCACTACTTCCGGCCGCAATCCGTTCTTCCACGCCCGAGCTCAGCGGACGAGCCCCTTTGACAGAGGCAGGAGGCCCAGGGGCGCACTCAGCGATGCAGAGAAGAGCATTGGAGGAATTAAGGCCCTGGAGAGGTTGATGCATGTCTGGGAGCGTGGTGCTACAAAGAGCGCACTGATGCCGAGAGTGGCGAAGGAGTGCGGCACCCCCTTAAAGGGGCTGGTGGACACGGGAAGTGCCTAGAGTCGATGGTCCAGGGTCGAAGGAAGGAGGCTGGGTTGGGTGGGAGCGGGCGGGGAGCGAAGGAGCACAGGGAACCAGAGGGATTGGGGAGATGCTGGCTTGGGGTTGGTTGAGGGTAGGGGCTGTGTAGCGATGGCACACCGGATAAGTGTGGGGGCGGGAGGAAGACCCCGGCTAAATCATCCTTGTGGTTTTCTGTCTTGATTTCCTCGTCCCAGAAGTTGAGGCTTTAGAGGTTGATGGGCGAGGAGCAAGTTTTCGAAAGGCAGTCTAAGAGGGGACCCGTGGCAGGCGGCGGAGAGAGTGGCCGTGTGGGTGGAGATGCGGATATGGGTTAGTCAAAGGCTCGGAGGCCCCAGAACACGTGTTTGGCCTCACGAAAGCCTTCATCCTTCGCTCCACCCTGGCTGCCTCCCGAAGTGCCAGCCCCGCGAAAGGGGCTTTGCTCCTGAGACGAGACAGGGCTGGCCGCGCCCAGGTGGGAGGCAGGATGGAGGGCGGGAGCCAAAGCTGAAGGGGCGGACACAGCGTGGTGTCTCGCGCTCCATAAAGGGGCGGTGGGGGCCCTGCTCTGCTGTGCGTGGGCAGCAGCCACTGGCGGGGAACACGGCGCGATGCCCCTTCAGTGCCAGCAGAGCCCGGTGCTGGCGGGCAGTGCCGCATTAGCCGCCCTGGGGGCACTGCTACTATACTTGGGAGAGCCCTCCGGCTATGGGAAGTACACAGGGAACCCAATGCCCAGGGATCCCCGTCTGCCCGCCCGCACCGCTTGGTTCCTGCAGGAGCTGCCCTCCTTCGTGGTACCGGCGGGGATCCTCGTCGGGCAGCCCCGTGCTCTCTTTGGCCCGCCTGAGACTGTGCTTCTGAGCCTCTTCTGCGCACATTACTTCCACAGGTAGCGTTTCCCCTCTGCTGGCGCGGAATGCCGCGCACCCCCAGGCTCCGCGCATCCAGGAGCGCAGCGCGCGGCGCGCACCCAGGACCGCCGAGGGGCGGCGCCAGCCTCGGGCGGGAGCAGGGAGCTGGGCTCGCCGAGAGCCCCTGTCTGGGCCGGGGCTACCGGCGCAACGCGGGGGAGTGGAGAAGCGGGCTCGTTGCAGACACCGCCTTCACTGCCCCCGGCCCGTGAGCATCTCGGTTCCGCTCCAAATCCTCGGGCTGCTCCGGGGAAGGAGGGCGAGTGGGGCGGGAGGCGAGTCGGAAAACTCAGGCTGGGCAGAACTTGTTGACCTGGACAGTGTCCTCTCCACGTCTGTGCTGTTCGGAGTCACCTGTGGCTTCTCATCGCGCTCCGTACCTCCCACGCCTTCTCTGTCTTTCTTCACCTTTTTAGTGCAAGGTAGGGGCGGGCTGGTTCTGAGATCTTGAGAGAGTTTGTGTTGGCACCTCTCGAAAGAAACTCGGCTCAGAGGGACTGATCAGCTTAATCTTTGCGAGTCTGAGGAGGGAGGTGGGCAGAGCCGGACTCAAACTTCAATGGGAGGAAAGAGAACTGATGGGAACCCACTGGCCTGAGCAAGACTTCCACTTCTCAGGCTCCACCCAAAAGGGACAGCCCTCACCACTAACTCATCTACCTTTCCAGTTCCCCTGGGACATAAGTGTGAATGGGTAGAAGTTAATTTAAAGCTCAAATGTTTTTCTCAATTAAAAATCCCAAATTTGGGAGAACTTTGCCATCTGGTCTGAGAAGGAAAGACAGGAAAGAAACCAAGGGCCTTTAGGATTCAAATGACTGCCAACACCCCCAAAAGACATTCCGGGGAAGGGAAGAACGCACAATTAAGTAGCCTGCTATGCCCAATCATTTAGCACCTATTGTCTCATCTATCCCCGATTGTAATCCTGTGAGATATGCATTTATTATGCCTGATTTATAGACAAAGACAGCGAGGCTGAGTAAGTTTAAGTGACTGAGTGAAGATGATACAGCTTGTGCTCAGCCAGATTCAAATCTAAGCCTGTGAAACTCCATGGTTCATCACCGTTTCACCGTGTTAAGGAGGCAGATCATCCAAACAAGGAGAAAACAGAGTCTATAGACAGAGAAAGGTTACCAAGCCAGGTCAAGAACTTGAACAGAAGCAGAGAATTTCCAGGATCCAAAGATCAAGGAAATCTACACTAGAAATCAGGGTAAAGAATGTCTCTGGAAGCCGAAAGGCATAATCCCCTGTCCCTCATGGGGGGGGGGGGAGTGATGCCCCATCTCAGGAAAAGCAGGTATTAGAGAAACAAATTTCAACCTGGCTTTCCTGATAACCCTTTCTTATTCTCTGGACCTTTTTTATTGGTTAAGATTTAATATTTGTGCAATTTTAACTGAATTCTCACTCTTTTAAAAAGAAGTTTTGGCAAACAGTAAGAACCACAACTTCAGAAATGGGTGTCCTTTCCATAGATATTTATGAAAAGCCTATTATGGACAAAGTATAGGTCTAGTTATCAACTACTTTATTTTACCCAGATTGAGATGTCTTAATTGGCACAGAAAGAAGGATGTTGGGTGCTGGCGATGAGACCAGTTTTTTTTTCTTTACCATAGTTTATTCAGATTTCCATAGTGTCTACATAGTGTCTTTTTTTTTTTTGTCCTAAGATCCCATCTAGAATGCTTCGTTAAATTTAGTCATGCTGTTTCCTGAGGCCTCTTTTCTTTCTTTTTTTTTTTTTAATTGGGGTATGGGGGGAAGGGGAACAGACAAGTTGCTGTCATTTTGTTCTTCAGTCTAGTTGTGGAGGACATTGCTTCACTGGCCCAAGTTGGCACCATCATTGCGCTCTTCCCTGGGCGAGGCACATCAGTCACCGGCTTCTAGACGGCCGCTCACTGCGGCTGCTGGCCGCTCACGCTGGCTGCTGGCCGCTCACGCTGGCTGCTGGCTACACACGGTAGCCCATGGCAACCCACTGCCACAGGGGCTGCAGCTCACACCATCGCTGGCGACTCACGGCAGCCCAGCTCCAGGTTGAGCTGTTGTTCAGCATCTTAGCTGCAGAGGGCAGTGTCACTGGCCCTCATATGTGGGATCCGAACCGGGGCCCTCTGGCATCGCAAGCCAGTTTTTAACCATCGCGCCACTCGGCCGGCCCAGACCTCTTTTCACTGACAGTTTCTCAGACTCTCCTTGTGTTTGATGGCTGTGCCCACACTTAATGAGAGGGAATTACAATTGACATCCTTCAGGGGAAGCATTTGCATATATGACTTGAAATTCTTCTGCATGGGAAGTGGGTCTCTTCTCTCTCCATTTGTTTATTTATTATTATTTTTATTAGTTTCAGGTGTACAAAATAATGTAATAGACATTTATACCCTCACAAGGTGATAACCCTCCTCCCCCAATCTACTGCCACTCTGGCATCGTATATAGCTGTTACAATTCCATTGATTCTATTCCCTATGCTGTACTCCACATCCTGTGACTTATATATGTGTGTGTGTGTATATATATATATATATATATATATATATATATATATATATAAAATTATAGTTGACATTCAGTATTATTCAGCTTCAGCTTCAGGTGTATGGTACAGTGGTCAGGCATCTATACCATCCATGAAGAGAACAGCTATTGATTTCACTGTTTTTGGAACAGATATTTGACAGAAGAATATGATTCCGTCAGACAATTATTTTTATCTTCAAATTTACTACTGCCTGTTAGCACTATAAATAATATTTTTATGAGATCATTTCATCTTAATGATTAGTGTTTTCTGAGAATCTTATTAGCATAATTTTTAGACTTGTTTTTAAAACTAAAAGGCACTTTGCACAATAAATTATGACTGTCACATTAAAAAATCCAAAGAAGTAATTATTACCCATGAAATGAATATCAACATACTTCTCATCTTCTTCAGGGGGAAAATCTAGAATATCAGTCAAGGATTTGGGTATTGATTCTGGCTGAGGGAAAATTGCCTCCTTTTCGAAAACTCAACTCTGAGTTGTCCCTGAGGCATGAAGATGTGATGTTTGCTCACCTTTCCACTTGTGTGAACTCTTTCTTTTTTGTACGAAACCACTGTAGTATTGGATCTGTTATCATTTTGAGTGTTTACGAGGTGTTCTGCTCTGTGCTAAACACTCTACATGGATTACCTACTAATCCTCATTTTAACCCATCTAGGTAGGCACCAACATCACCCCCATTTTGTAGGTGGAAAACTGGGGCAAGCAAAGGTCACACAGTAACTTGAAAACCAGGATTCAGACCCAGAGAGCTTGAATCCAGGATCTTAGCTACCGTGATAAACTATTTTATACTTGTACTTGCTACCTTGTCCTTGCCTGTTAAAATCTTTTTTTAATTCTAAAAATAATGAATGTTCACTAAAAATACAAAAAGTAGAAAAACACCATAAGTTCAACACCTAAGTATATCAATGGTTAATGTTTTGGAACATTTCCATCAATGCTTTTTCTTTTCTTTTTAAATATTTTATTGGGGAATTGGGGGAGGGGAACAGTGTTGGGGAATTGGGGAAGGGGAGCAGCCAAGTTGTTCTTCAATCTTCGTTGTGGAGGGTGCCAGACGCCATCTGGCTTCCTGTCAGCAGCTCGTGGCCTCTAAGCTCAAGGTGCTGTGTTCAATCTTAGTTGTTGGTGGGTGTAGCCACCATCCCATGTGGGAGTCGAACCAATAGTCTTGTTGTTACGAGTGCACACTCTATCTATCCCTTGAGCCATCCGGGAGGCAGCTCAGCTCAAGGTGTCAAGTTCAGTCTTAGTTGTGGGTAGGCATAGCCCACCATTGAATAGGCAATCTTGTTGTTACACCAGTTGAGCCATCCTGCCACCTGTTGGCAGCTCAGTGACAGCTCAGCTTGGGTGCAGTGTCACTGGTCCATGTGGGATTCGAACTGGTGACCCTGTTGCTCAGAGCTCATGCTCTTAAGCCAACTCTTAACCAACTGAGCCAGTTGGCTGGCCCAATGCTTTTTCTCTTTTAAAATTTATTTTTCAATTACAGTTGACATACAATATTATATTTTCAGATGTACAACAGTGATTAGACATTTACGTGACACCCTCCCAATTAGTCTAACACCCCTCTGAAATCGTACATAGTTATTACAATATTATTGACAATATTCTCTATGTTGTACTTTACATCCCCATGACTGTTTTTATAACTGGCAATTTGTACTTCTTAATCCCTTTACCTTTTCTACTCATCCCCAACGCCCCTCCCATCTGGCAACCATCAGTTTGTTCTATGTATCTATGAGTTTTTTTACGTTTTGTTTGTTCACTTGTTTATTGATTTTTTTAGATTCCACATATAAGTGAAACCATGGTGTTTGTCTTTCTCTGTATGATTTATTTCACTTGGTGTACTACCCTCTAGATCTATCCATGTTGTCATAAATGGTAAGATTCTATCCTTTTTTCTGACCATGTACTATTCCATTGAATATATGTACCACATCTTCTTTATCCATTTATTTACCAATGGACACTTAGGTTGCTTCCATATAAATCTTGGATATTGTAAATAATGGTGCAATGAACATAGGGGTGCATACATCTTTTTGAATGTGTTTTGGATTTCTTCAGATAAATACCGAAAGGTGGAATTGCTGGGTCATATGGTAATTCTATTTTTAACTTTTTGAGGAAGCTCCATACTGATTTCCATAGTGGCTGCACCAATCTGCAGTCCCACCAACAATGCACGAGGGTTCCATTTTCTCCACAACCTCGCCAGCACTTGTTGTTTGTTGATTTATTAATGATAACATTCTGACAGGAGTGAGGTTATATCTTATTGTGGTTTTTATTTGCATTTCTCCGATGATAAGTGATGTTGAGCATCTTTTCATATTTCTGTTGGCCATCTGTATGTCTGTTTTGGTGGAATGTCTATTCAGGTCCTCTGC